CTTCCCTCCTCCCCCCGTCCCCCCCCCTCGGGAAACTGTCACCAGGCCTCCTGAATTTCCTTCCCACTGTTCTTTTATGAGCCAAGGCTGGTGTTCGCCTTCCTGGTCTGCCTGCCTGCCTTCATGCCAGGCTGCAGTGTAAAGATACTTCCTTTAGCACAAACCTCAGGCCAGAGCTGGACATTAACAAAACAGCACCTGGCCAAGTCTCAGAACACTGACCTGTGTCTTCACGTTAACTCATTCTTTCCACTGTACCCTCATGGTGTGCGCCCCACTCTTTAGTCACAGATTTTATGACTGATTAGTATCATAGCATTATCTAACAGATAGATAATGGTCACAGAGAACAGCTGTGAAGTGTGGTGAGATAGGACAGGGATGGACAGAGCTGCTTCTGTGCTTAAAGGAGCCTCCAGCTCAGGAAGCTGAAAAAGATGAGGAAAAGACTTCTCCCTCAAAGCCTCCTGAAACAAGTGCAGCCCCACTGATGCCTTGAGTTTAGAACTGGCCTGTGAAGCCAGGGAGGATGTGAGTTTACGTGTGTGGCAGTGTGTGACAGCTGCCATAACAGATGACCTGTGATACGTGAGGCGAGGTGCATAGGACAGAAGAGGCTGGCTACTGACCCTTGAGGTGCAGTGGTCGTTTTTAGGAGTTGTGGTTTGATTGCCGTACCTCTGTTGAACCTCAGGCTCTCAGAAACCCCTCATAGATATGAAATCGCCTTCCCATGAAACGTTCCCCAGGAGATACTGAGACCAACAGGATAAAGATCTAATTTCGGTGGGATTTTTAAATTTCTTCGTGCTCTCATCTGAGGTCAAAACGGTAGAGATCGTAGAGCACCTCTAGACAGGAAGGGGGTGGTGGGGTCCCCCGATTCCTTGTTGATCTTGCCCCTTCGCTTCCTAGGGCTGCGCTTACAGACCACTGTAACCCTAGTGCCTTTTATGCCGATTCCCCTGGAGTCTCAGGAGCCAGAGCTCCCTAATCAAGGTCTGGCAGGGCCTTGCTTCCTCTGGAACTTTCTTTGCCTCTTCTGACAGGGCTCCAGGTCTTCTGGACTTGTAAGTGCATCCCTCCCACCCACACCTTCCTCTTCCACAAGACCTTCTCTGGGTCTCGAAAGGACAATTGTCATTACATACAAAGTATAATCCAGGATGGCCTCATCTGTAGACTTAACATGGCAGCTGCAGACACTTTCCAGATAAGGTCATGTTCACAGGTGTAGGTGAGCATGCTTTTGAGGGGCTGTGGCCCAGTCTGCTCCACTGCCCTCTTGGGCTGGTGTGGCCATGCAGTGCCTGGTATGGCCACACAGTGCCTGGTGTGGCCACGCAGTGCCTGGTGTGGCCATGCAGTGCCTGGTGTGGCCACGCAGTGCCTGGTGTTTGCCTTGGACTGCCTCACTAGGCTGTGCCCACTTTCACTTTGCTGCTCTCCCATGTTGCCAGCTCCTCCGAGGGGTCAGCCTGCCCACACCAGTGTCCATTGTGTTCTTAGTATAGATGGCTGGAGAGTTGAGAAGGTGGGACAGGCAGGGGCTGGGATGACCCTGAACTAATGCATGTCTGCAGGGAGGCAGAGTCTTATCTCTCTTACTTGAGAGGGAGGATACTGCGTGGGTAGAAAGTCACAGTAGAGAATGTAGGGATCCTTGCCTATAGCCTTGACACCTGCCCGAGTAACAGCCTCTGCTGGCCTGCTGGGGGTGGGGCAGGCTGTGATCCTCAGGGGTAAGGACACCCTGAGTGAAGGAGCAGGTGCTTTGGCTTAGGCAGCTGGGACCCTGAAGCAGGCCTCCAGGGAGCCTCGGGGAGAGGGCACAGGGAGACCATTGACCACCCCCTAGCCAGGGGGAGAGATACACTGACTCCTAGGAAGATAAACTCTGTGAAGTCTCTGTGAAATCTTCAGGCATGTGAAGACTTGAACCCAGGTTAGTGTGAATATCAGGGCTCTTTTTTCTTTTTGTCATTTGAAAAAGGATAGTTTTAACCTTACTGTTTAATTTTTTGAGAATCCATACATTTGTAGTGTATTTACATCATTTCTGCCCCTCCCTTCCCCCTCCAATTCCTCCCACACTCCTCATGCCCTCTCAGTTTCTTGTCCTCCTCTTTGAGTACTATTGTTTGTGTATCTGATACATATATAAATACATACCCTTAGATTCACATAGCTCTCACCACTCATCAAAGAAACTTATTTTTGCATCAGATCAGATGGAGACTATTACAGAGGTCCACAACTGATCAAATGATCAAAATGCAGACAGTATGTGACTGCAGTGCCTAGCCCCAGCTGATTGCTTTACAGGAAGGGGTGGGAAGATTGCTAGGGCCAGAGGACCAGGACACCTGCTGCTAGATAATGCATGCCAGATACCACATCTCCGCAGCGTGGCTGCCTAGCAAGACCTGCATCATGACACCAGTTGATATGCCGACGTGGATGGAGCCAATTTCATGAGGCCCCACCTCTAGATGAAGAACTACAGGCAATCAATGGATGCTGACGGAGGGAGACTCGGTTCCCAGGGATGAGCTCCCTCATAGGTCAGCCCTAAGCACATGTATACATGAGCACCACTTAATGGACTCAGGGCACTTGTTTGAAGTAGTAGACCCAGGTTAGGTGTGATGTACCCATTCTGCCATTATTTGTTTGAAAAGAGTTGGAAAGACCATACATAATGGGTTATTTCTTTCTGGTGTGCTTAGGAAACGGATATAGTGTGCTGGATGCTTTAGTGTCAACTTGACACACCTGGGTTGAGGGAGCCTCAATTGGGGAATTGCCTCCATTGGACTGGCCTGTGGCCATATCTGTGGGGCACCTTCTTGATTATTGAATGATGTGAGAGGGCCCAGCCCACTGTGGGTGGTGCCACCCCTGGGCAGGTAGGCCTATGTTGTATAAGAAAGCAGGTTGAGTATGGGCCAGGGGAGCAAGCCGGTAAGTAGCATTCCTCCATGGCCTGTGCTTCAGCTCCTACCTCCAGGTTCCTATCTTCTTGATGAGTGATGTGGGAGGGCCCAGCCCACTGTGGGTGGTGCCACCCCTGGGCAGGTGGGCCTGTGTTGCATAAGAAAGCAGGCTGAGCAGGGGCCGGGGGAACAAGCCAGTGAGCAGTGATCCTCCATGGCCTGTGCTCTAGCTCCTGCCTCCAGGTTCCTGCCCTGAGTTCCTACCTTGGGCTCCCGGATGAACTGCGACCTGGGAGATGTAAGACAAATAAACCCTTTCCTCCCCAAGTTGGTAGTGGTCAGAGTGTTTTGCCACAGCAATGGAGAAACAAACTAGGACAGATAAGATGTACACATTTATGTAATTTTAAATGTGTTGGACACTTAGAAGCTGATGGAATCCTAGGGCTGACTTTGGTGCAGTGACCCCTCTGTTAGTGTGAGGTCCCCAAGCTGACCCGGCTGTGCCCTTCTATTGCCTGAGTAGGTACAGCTTGGGACCCAGATCTTAGTCCCACTGGAGAACCTTTGAAGCCTAGTGATGCTGGGCCTGGTCCTTATGTGGCCATAGTGATCCTGCCTGTGGTTTGGGGCCAAATCTCAGCTCTTGGCTTGTAAGGCAGATGCTAAACCCAATGATTCCACTTTAAAAAGTGGCATTGGTTGTCATTTCTCTGAGGAGGCTGAGAGAGTGTGGTCCCCCAGCTCCCTGGAGAG